CACGTCGGTGAAACCCACAAGCACTGGCATGGTGTGACCATTCCTAGAAACAACAAAAATGGTTGATTCTGTGATTCAAGGTCGCATTCACTGGTTTCTGGCACACCTAAGGGATGCAAATCTGCACAGCTAATTGTGGTGCCTTAGACGACTGGAACACCTGTACCCCGTGCTGGCATGACATTTTGCACCAAGCCAGACTACATGAACACAAGTAGTGATATAATGGGAAAAAATCAAATGGTTGCTCTCTTATTTCATTTCAAGACCTTGAAGGTTTACACTCTTGCATCACCAAACAAATCACAACACCTTCACAACATAAAATAGTGAATTCATCTTGCAACATAAAATATAAGACTAATCTAAAGGATAAATTACCTTTCCTATTTTGATTCATAAAGAGGTATCATCTGACAAATGCTTTCTAAAAACTGAAAACTCAGCCTACTGGCCAACTTCTCTATTTGATACTCTATGTGTACAAATCAGCAAGCGTTTAAAAAAAAGAGAGCAGTTTTGTTGTACCGTATATGCTCACTTCTGATAATTTTCATAAAGCATACTAAAAGTGTTTCTTTTTTCTCAGCGTATTAAGATCAAGATAGGACTGACCATATAATTAAGACTATGAGCCTAATATTTTTTCAAAAAGCATCTTGCAATTTCCAACCATTTTCTGGGATGATATGTGTTTTTTTTTATAAAATCCCAGTGTCACCTACAAATATTCACCAATATTGCAACTATCCATAGCTGTATTAAACAAAAGCTGTGTTTGCACTCCAGCATGCTGACAATTATGAAGCTGAACTTCAAGAAATTATACTAATACCACTCAGTATCATACAGCCTTCAAAATTCATGCTAGTCCGCTAGCCAGACATGAAATTAACAAGTAAAAATCCAATGATGGTAGTCCTCATTTATTCGTAGCCTTTTAGCTATATAATTCTAAACCAGTTCTCAATGCTTCAATTTTGCTACAATTTCAAACTGAATAAAACTGACAGAAAATGTAGTCAACATTTATGTCTTGTTCAAGCAGGACTAGCTACAAACTCTGCTACAACTCCAGCTACAAGTACTCAGGACTAGTCTGAAACAAAAGAATTCCCAAGGCTGTCATATGCCACACAGAAAATAGGACAACCAAATGCATCGGAGACCATATTGCACTGATCGAACTGCTACAAAATTAGAATTATGAATATAGCCTGTATACAATCATCTGGAAAACACTCGGTGAAGACCATCCACACTTCCATAAAACTTGTAAGGGACTGCAGTTCACCCGTCTATACAATATTTACACATTAAAGGTCTTGTCCAAATGATAGAATGATCATATCTATATTCTTGAGCATTGCTGAGAGCAATAAGGATTAAAATGATTAGCGGGAAAATGTGAAGAAATTAGAACCCTGTAAGAAAATATAGATGAGATGTGGACGTATATTTTAATTGAATGTTTATCGGTCAGATTCAAATTTCAAAGATTTCCATGCCAATAATGCACAATTCTGTGTCATAATGTTATCCAAGTACATGTCAATTTCCAGCCCTAGTTTGAGTTTATTGAATTTAAGCCCTTGATTCCTCTAAAACCTACAATTTTTTTCTCTGAATGGTTCTCTGAATATCTCATCAGACAAAATACAGATGAAAAGATATTTTTTGAAAAACTAAACCGTTTCATGTGAACTACTCAAAAGAAGTTGAAGAACACCCTATTCTTTCATATTCTGTATTTGTCATACAATGGTTAGTGTTACTAACATGATAAACTAATTCGATAAACTTGGTATCTCATTCTCATTGATATGCAAATGAGGTCACCAGCAGGAACTTCTCTTATTAAGCCCTGTACATAGATATGTGGAGTTTACTTCCTCAAAATATTTTCCATCATGTTCCTTAAATAATCAGATAGTGGTTTCTCAAAGTGTGAGTGCTTATGTAAATCGCGATGGCTGCAAATCATTTGGCACTATATCACTCAGGCTTTTTTATATTCCTACGGAGGTTCCTAAAGTTACTATAGCGAATAGCAAAATGTCTTAAACATTGATTATATTAAGAATTACATTACATAATAAAGGGATAAATATCCTTGTGTGCTTCTGTATCGACAAAGGCTTACATAATACAATTGCTGTTCACAATATACGACATCTAAGATATATATATATCCAATACAGCCCATGCAAGTCTATATTTGGCAAGTCTAGATTACTGCAGTATCTGAAAATGAAGACAATCTCTTGGCTCCTTTTTATCATGTTTTATAACTATCAACTGTTTTATTCTGTGAAATATGTTCATTTCAGAGACTAGATGTTACTCTAATCTGAATAATGCAAGAGGAAATACTGACCATCATGTAAGTTATTGGCCTCAGTAGGGAGAGCTTATTAAAATTACTTACAGACTGGTCTGGAAGATGGTTAGGGGTACTTAATATGGTGTAAATGATATATATTGGATGTTAACCCTTTTGTTACCACAGCTTACAGCTGAATGATCTGATGATACTACAATTATTTATTTCCACAATATGATGTACATGAATTGTAATTGATAAGAGTTATGAGTTGTGTGAACTAGGACAATATATAGTCGAGGTGGCTCTCATCAACATTTGGGTTTCATCATATTGTTCAGTCTGATCAAATCTTGGTGCTCTCTAAAATAGTCAGAACATTTCAAATCAAGTGATCAAGAAACAAATATATGTTTTCCTGTTATATCAAAATGTATTAAGATATTTACTGGATTGTGAAATGAGTAAAGTGACTTTAATATATTGTTTCAACCCTACTACGTATAAATATCATTTTTCAGTACAGCAAATTGAACAATGGGCCTTTCAGGCCTTTCAACCTGTTTTTTCTTTCAGTCCTGCTCTAGCAATGAAGATGGACAAACAGGATGGCATCTTCCCGAGGCAAGAGAGTTAACTGACTTTTAAAGTCCAGTTTCCACCCTTGCCGAACTAGGCTGGAATTACTGGGCTCGATCGTAGCGCCACCAGTGGCTATTACGAGTTATGTCCTTTCTATGCCTCTCCTATTGACCAATCAGATTCAACCTCTCGTATCACTTGCATTTGTTTCAAACAAAACGGTGGCGCCCAGTCAAGACGATCTGATCGATAATGAAGATCTATATTGTGATAAAAACGAGTCTTACATCGCAAAGTGCATCAAATCACGTGAGCACCTTGATTAAAAACATGAAAAGATTTAGAAAATATCTGTTGACAACGAGTTAGCGGTGCACATGCTTTGCAAATCCTGCAGTCGACCGAAATCTGCATGACACTCTACGAACCGGATTTCGATTTCGGTGCGCAATTTTGATTGGACTATGCATAGACTCGTTAGTCCAGCCAAAACCTAACTCCATAATACCAGCCTAGTTCTGGAAGGGTGGAAACTGGACTTTTATAGTCAGTAGACTCACTTGCCTCGGGAAGATGACAGGATGGATGATAAGTACAAATCCCATGACAAACCCACTTTACTTCTACTGAGGGAAGCTAAAGGTAAATCTGACACACAAACCTTTTCAAATTTAAAAAAATCAAACCATGACTGCATGCTTCCACTAACTCATCATAACCTGAGAATCAACTTTTAAAATGTTCTCGACTATAAAGTTAATTGTATCCTAAAATAGTTCATCAATTACTCATTGACATGTCTACAAGATAAACACTATGCCTTAATTAATAAATAAATCAACAAGTAACCTGTATCTTCAAACATTAAATCATCTCTTTAAGGCCATGAAAAATATTTCTCATTAAAGGGCCGGTCATATAAAACAGGATAGAGTCCTAAGTTATTTTTTCTGGACTAAACTTTGCTGTACTGGAACATGCTTAAAACTGTTTGAAAATAAGCTTCTGATAAGATATATTTTTTCATGGCCAAATTTCATTATAACGATTTGCAGTAAATAAAATCTAGACTGGGGACAGGTGTATAAATATACAGATTTCACTAAGAAAGTTGAGCTGTCAGATATCATTGAAAACGTACACAACATTGAATTCTCACAGATTATTGGTTTGGGGTATCAATGTGAACATGCATCACTCATCCTACTTTCACAATGGGCAGAGTATACTACTCAAAAGAAGTTAGGGAACACCCGAAACTGTCATGCCATTACAGATAAACTACAGTGATATGAAAGAGTCATGAGTGATTTTAATTTTACGCCACTTTTCGCAATATTCAACAGCAGGGGACACCAGAAACGGGCTTCACAAATTGTACCCATGTCGGGAATCGAACCCAGATCTTCGACGTGACAAGCGAACGCTTTAACCACAAGGCTACACGACCGCCCCTGAAAGAATCATGTGATCTTTAACTTCATTTGAGTATATTGCAATGTTAGCACAAAATGGAGCGAAGACAGATTTTTAATATAAAATGAAAACTGTTCACTATATAAATATATATATATATATGTATATAACTCTATACTATAACTCACAAGTACTTTGAGGCATCCAAGGAACCCTTCCTAACTCGACTACACTGCAAATACTGGAAGCTGCAGCAGTTACATGTTCCTGGTGTTACTATAGGCAATCTGGATCTAGTGAAGTTGCCTTTCACTGCAAGCACTGAGGTGGTAACATCTCGGTGCTTACAGTCAGTGGTTTATTTCTAGTTTTCAAAACTCACAATCCATAATTTAATAAGATATTGAGTTTTTGTGACAAGTAAAGGACAGCTAATGTTTATTTTTCTAAAACCAAATCCAGTAAAAGCTTAGATTAAGGACAATTTATGTTGGCCCCCTACACTGAACTGCATCCCAAACCAAAGAAATTCATAGACCCTAAACATGCTAAACAACAGCAAAGCAGGAATTTAATTTGATGCATGTCTCAAAACATACAAACTTTTTATTGTGTATATATCCTGTTACATTTGATTAAAACAAAGAATGTTGCCTAAAAATATTTGTACATCTTTTTCGAGAACAGTCTTCACTTCCAAGAGACTCTGATTTTCCGACCCTGAAGCAATATAACTGATACGTTCGATCATGATGTTAAACAAAGATGTCTTGACATACCTTGTTGAGGTGAGAAAATGATGTTTAACACCAGCAATATTCCAACCATATCACACAGTCTGTAAATAATCCACACCATGAGCCAAGTCTCAGTGCCTGACAACCTACTCTCCATCTTCATCAGCTCTTAATACCAGCACAAGGTACTGGGGACATGTGAGATGGTCGGAAGATTGTCTTTGGGTACCAACAACTTTGTTTGAGAATTGACTTCAATCTTTTTTTTTATCGCATATTATGAAGGAACACTGTGCAAGTCCACATAAACACAAAAAAACAATTAACTTCTTTGATTTCCATTTAGAAGTTGGAGTACTAAGTAAGGATAAGAATTTATGGATGAACAACTTCTTTATTACAACTGAGAGCGATGTTTCTGTGTAGGCATCCATAAATTCTTATCCTTACAAAAACAATTGCTTCTTTAGCCAAATGCCAAGAAACTATTACCAATTTATTATTTCCACCTCAGTTGATACGGCCAAACTATTTCATGTTTTGGTTTACAGATTTCTCCAGGTAAGCTCAAGCTCTCGGACAGTTCAAAGAGAAGTCAACATACTCAAATCAATGATTACTGTTTGTGGAATACAATTTTCAATTCTTAAGGTCAGCAGATCTATAAGCCAACTTAAAAAAACATAAGGCTTTATGGGAAATGTTTTACGTTTATTTTCTTTCTTGCAGTTTCCTGTTTGTTTGTTTGTTTCAGGTGATGGCGGACAGTGACAGTTGCATCATGATGTAGAACAACTGGTGAGCACTCACTCAACATGATCATTAAGCCGTCATTCACATTGTGATGCCTGATATTTGTGCTTGATATTGTCATATCTTTATCACATGTCAGCATATCAGCATATTTATACATGTTTTCAATATTTTCACATCTCTCGCAAAGAAACAAATTTCTGTTGAAGTTAAACCATCTTTAATCAAACAATTATAACAATATCATAAATAGTGTAAAATTAAAGGGGGCACAGACATGAATGACCACGCTGTGATGAAACCTCGGAGAACACTCCACTGCAGAACAGAGGTATAGAAGAGCCATGTAAAGAGAGTCGTGTGTCACATGTACATGTGGTAGGGTCAGGAGACAGAAATAGTAGGGAGACGCCACACAAAAGGAGTTGGTGGGGTCGGGACACCAACAGTAGACAACAAAAATGTACCCATTCAGGGACTAGAACCTGATTCTTCTGCTTGACCAGTGTACATACAGACCACTGGGCTAGATCTTGGGAGTGAGTAGGGTTTTTTGCCGATTTTAGCATTATTCCAGTTACATCACAGCGTGGGATGAAGGAAGCCACTTTTAGCCACATTCTGACAAGTGACACCAAGAATGGCATTGACACATTGTACCCATGTGTGAAGTCAAACCCCAGCTTGAGGTTTGATGAGTTGAAACTGTGCCCAATAAGTGACCCCACTTCCCACATTTCATGAGAGATGTCATATGTGTCTTATAATACTGCATGTTATGTGTACCCAATGCCTTAAAGAATACTCTGTGTGTGTGTGTGTGTGTGTGTGTGTGTGTGTGTGTGTGTGTGTGTGTGTGTGTGTGTGTATGTCTTATAATACTGCATGTTGTGTGTACCCAATGCGTTAAAGAATACTCTGTGTGTGTGTGTGTGTGTGTGTTCTATAGTGCTAACCCACATGGATACCCCACTCACACACAATATAATGACTCAGAGCCAACCAGTTCTTTTATCCCTTTCATGCCGACTGCCAGGCAGGGTAACAACAAGTACCATCTTTTAACATTCTTTAGTGTGACACGGCCATGGATTGAACCACCAACCCTTAACTCTCCAGGCAGATGCTCTATCCACTAGACCATGGCAGTCTGTGTGCACTTGTATTGGTGTAGGGAAAGCGCCATGTTGTTTGTGTAATTCTCAAGTGAAGCCAAGCAATGGATACACCATACAGACTGTTCATCAATCATCCTTTACCTGCATTCAGGTCCTGATTAGGAGTCCAGTGAACTGCTTGAGGACATACACGGAGCACATGCTGTATGACAATGAGCCATATGTGTGTGTTGATCAGCATTGCTGATGTTAGTTCTCAATGTTAGGCCATGAAAAAAAGAAAAAGAAAATATTTCTCATCATGTGGGTAATATAGAATTCATTTTTCAAGACTTCTGTAAGTTTTTCTTTAGTACATAAAAGTTCCTGGTTTTCATTTGTCTAGAATGTCCAGAATGGGTGTATGATGAGAAAGAGTTATCTTCCCTTACTTAAACTGTGGCATCAGGGTTGCTAGCAAGTTTGTCAAAATTATTGACTAAAGATACAAACGACAAAACTAGTGACCTGGTCTTTTTTAAGCTCTTGAGGAGAAATATTTTTTTATGGCCTATATGTTAAATGGTTTCATGTGTCTATATATGCAAAAGACTTGTCTACAGAAATATGAGTGACAGAGAGACAGGTTATTTGTTCGAATGAGGGTAGATTAAATAAATACTCTTTAAGGTTATTTTCACATTGGATAAAACAGAATTGCATACTAAAGCACATCCAACACCAACAGATTCATTCCATCCTACAGACAGCATCATCTACTACCACTTGTAGCAACAAGCATCAAGGGTTCCTCATCGCATCAGGACAACAGCTAACAGTCAACTGCATCTATTCTACAAGACTAAATATTTCCTGCCTCAGCTGCTGTTTTTCACATCCACACGACAAATCGGACAGGTGGCAGTGTTCTGGAAACAAGGAAATGACATCATTATTTCACTGCATTTCTAAGAAGTACTAAGCCAGATATTTCTTTCATAAAAACCAGGTTGGAAATGCTGGCCATCTTGTGAAATGGCCGACCGATATTGGGTCTTGAGTAAGAGTTATTTTAAGACACTAATACACAAACATTCGTTGTTTTCTGTGTGTATGAACATATTTAAGCAATCATTGGCCATAACAGGTATGTACCATACTGTTTAAAGAATGGTCATTTTGCCAAATGTCCACCATTTCAAAAAGTGGCAGCCATGACTGCTATTGACATATTTAATAATTCTATAACTAGAAATCATTGTTGGTCAATGAAGTAACTCTGTAGTGTGTTTCACATGTTTATGACACATGTAACAGTTGTTACAGATATTGCCTCTATCCCACCATATAATATGAACCTATTTTTACCTATAGGTACCGGGCAGGAGACTGCCTTAAGCTTTCACCTACCCTATAGTTTGGGATTACACAGTACCTAGAAATGATCAGTTGGCTCTCTGGACCAAACTGTATAGTCAGACCATTTATGTAGAAAGTGTGGAACAAACAGTAACACGGGATTGGTGAAATTTATGGCAACACATACACCAATCTAAAGACATCGTAACCACCCACCTTAAGCCACTTATCTATACAGGGTTGGTGAAACTTGTGGCAACACATACACCAATCTAAAGACATCGTAACCACCCACCTTAAGCCACTTATTTATACAGGGTTGGTGAAACTCGTGGCAACACATACACCAATCTAAAGACATCGTAACCACCCACAAGCAACTTATCTATACAGGGTTGGTGAAACTCATGGCAACACATACACCAATCTAAAGACATCGTAACCACCCACCTTAAGCCACTTATCTATACAGGGTTGGTGAAACTCATGGCAACATGGCAGTATGCGTAGACTGTCCCCCTCCTGGTAGTCACACATGCAAATGAGGCAGTCTGAGGTGTCGTTCCCGCTGCTGTCGCTGCTCTTGAACTTGCGTATAGGGAGACGGTTCAACTCGGACTTTGTCATGCCCTTCTGCTTCACTTCACCCAGAGACTCTGCTAACTCCAGGAGCTCCTGGGAATATATGAGGGTGAAGGAATTGAGAATTGGAGAACACCCAAGAAAGCACATGGAAACTACAGAGTAGGCCATGAGTGTTATCTCTCAGCCCTTGGTGAGGGGCGCCATTCACAAGTCTAATAATCCATAATTAGGAGAAGGTTATTGTATACTTATTTGCAATTTTGTTTTGGGAAAAAGTCTGAAATGTCCATTTGTTCAGATGAAATAATGTTATCAATTTGTGATGCCATGAACAATGGATGACATCACATCATATTGTTCTCAACAATGTGACATCATGAAACTTCAACTGACCAATCAGCACTGAGAATCACCAAAGTGCATTCTCAAAGGAATTGTGGCCACCCATCCCTACTCATCAACCATGGAGTTCTTAGGATGTACATCTGACAGAGTCCCAAGAAGTCTGATATTACTTATATCATCTATAGGAGACAGTTAAGAACGAAAGAGAGTTAGGATTTAACCAGGGATTTGAACCCAGGTCTTCTGCATGATGAGCAAATGCACTTACCACTAGGCCATGTTGACATGTAGTCGTATTGAAAAATGTCACAACTAGTGTTTTGTGCTAATAACATCTTAGTAAAATCTAAATATTTTTTACATTTGTATACTTATCCTGCATTACTACGCTTAAGGCATTAAGGAGTAATGCAGGATAAGTAAACAATTTAGTAAAATCTAAATATTTTTTACATTTGTATACTTATCCTGCATTACTCCTTAATGCCTTAAGCGTAGTAATGCAGGATAAGTAAAAAATAGTACAAATATAAAATGCACATGTATATTTCATAGTGGCTGGCATCTCTGTTGATTATGACAACACACCTCATAGTCATTCCCATCCCCAACAGGGCTGTGTAGATTCCGGAGGAAGCGGCCACCATTGTTTCCCCTCCTTCGTCCACGGCGCTGTCGACACAGTGAAAGGTAGCATTTTACATGTAAGCCATAGTTGACAACAAACTTCAGCATGCAATTAACTCTACGTCTGGAACACTGCAACTCAAAGACTTAAATTTTCGGCTTTGTCAGTTAAGTGGGTGCAGGGGGTGCCATGTCTTTTTGACACCTTTGTCAACCTATGTCTGACTGTCTGTCCAACATGAGTTTGTTCCCTTTGTGACTTGTGAGTGTGCCCAACGCTTTGCAAAACCCTCAGTATGCATCAGCTCTGTGCATGCTGTGATGAAAGATTGCTAGATGATAAAATATTTCCCATACAGATGCTCTCATGTTACAACTCCATAGAAAGGATATAAACATAGCCATGAATTCAGTATATAAGATAAATACTATTCCTTGGTCATGTGCTTATTTTATGGTATGCACTTAATGCAGATTAGCATTAGGTTAGGAAACAAGATAGCATGTGCTGGGTCAAAAAGATGATAAATCTCATAGGTCTTCATTGTCATAAGAAACAAAACAGTTCCTTGATCAGCTACTGTTCTTAAAGCTCCAGTAGTTTTGGGTTGCACTTTGTAGTTTTTGTTTTTATATCTCAAGTCCATCAAACAGGTGAGGTGAAATGGGGCTTAACGTCGCATTCAAGATTATTGCAATCATATGGTGACGTGCAAGTGTGTGTTTGGCTGCTTGTACTAGTCCGGACTAATGACGGTTTTATATTGCTAGCCCACTGAGATACCATGCAGCAGCTTAACATGAATACCCTATTCAGACACAGTATACTGACCCCAAGCCGACCAGTCCTTGTTTTAATAAATATATATTTACACTATGGTTATGTTATTATAAATATCGATCCATAAAGCCATCAAAATGTAGCCATAATGACCCTGACAACAACTGTATGGTGTTCTCTAGTTCCGCTCATACTCACAGTGACGGGGGAGTTGTCTAGAAGAGCCAGGATGTGTGCTTCCATCAGAGCTGCAACACAACACCAGTCATTTCACTGACAGACTTCACTGCTTATATAAATTAACACATGTTACATGTTAAGAGAACAAATCTCTCCCTTATCCTGATAACTGGATGATTTACCGTCTTGGAGACAAATCCATTTATGTCTACAGATTATGGGGAATAAGGTTAAAATGCAACATTTTTGTAGCCAGGGACAGGTAGAACATTTTGTTTAAATATGACACTTATGTGCCAAGAAGTTATTAGAAACATTTTCAGTGCAAGTATTACAGATGAATGATCGACAGAACCTCATGACATAGGTTTAGTCAGGGTCCGCTAAAAATGACAATTATCACCTGTAAGTGAGACACAGAAAGACCACCAACCAACACCAATTTAAAAAATATTGACAATTTCTTTCATTACCTTCATTATCCTGAATCAATTAATCGATTGCTGATTGATGAGTACAGGTCTATCCATATGACAACCAAGTACAAAATCAAAACACGCAACCAGACCATCCAAAGTCTCTTTATTGGAGACGGAAAAAGTTTACCAAGCAGAAACTGTGGCTATAGGTGCTGACAAAATTGTGAATGTCGTGAGGATGAATCGGAGCACAGATCTGATTTTAATGAGATTGGGTCTACGGGTCAGAAAATATAAAGGAAGAGTATTCACCTAGAGGGTGGTCAGACCCAGGAGGAAAGCGTCGAGCACCATGCTGGAACATAGGATGCTTAAATGCAAGATATGCGTCATTACTTTATGTGAAAATGGTACATATTTAAATCATAGTAAATATCGAGCACGAAAGCTCTGAACAATGTAAAGCACATCTTTCCGAAATAAGAGCGTTCACTAGCCTTTTTATCAAAGTCTTGTTTCCACCATTGCCACATCAAGCTTACTTTCCTGTGCTAGATATGATTGGACTATCTCATATATCAATAGTCCAATCAGAGAACAGTTCACAAAATCAAAATCCATGACTGGTACACTTTCCTATGAAAGCGATTTACCGCTGCCTGTCTTTGTTGACACATCTGTTCATCTTTTAAACCCCCCATGATAGTCTATGTTTTGTGTCAGGGATGAAATCGCAAATGTTTTTCGCCTATGGTAGTCGCCATCTTTGGTGAAGCTATACAAGATAAGAACAGCCATCTGATTTGATATCGTGTTTTCATTACAAGGGGCACAACTCTTGATCTATGCGAGGTGACGTCAGAATCGAGCCAAGAATAGTGGTCTTGATGTGGCAAGGGTAGAAACAAGGCTTTGATATAGGCTAGTGGACACACTTGCCTCGGGAAGATGTGTGAAGCATGGTTAGTTTTAGAATCAATAAACAGGAGAAAAGGAACAACATAAACATAGCGATACATGGTTTTAACAGCTGAACACATCAGCATGACAACAATGCAATAAATACTGTATTAGTACATAGCATATTCAACAGAAAATTTCTTCAGCATATGGGAGAAAATTGGAAAAAGAACAAGCAGTACTGTACTAGTACTTCCATATTTTTAAGTGACTTGGGACAAGCGGACTAGTGGCCATGTCTCACCAGGATTAGGAGCCAGTGACTGAGTGACTGAAGATTACAGCATCAGAAATCTTGCAGCTACTCATGAGGAGCGGTGAGGTGAAATGGGGTTTCAAGTCACACTCAAGAATATTGCACTAATACAGCAATGTGCATGCACTTGTGTGTGGCTGCTTGTACTTATCCAGATTTATATCAGGTTTATAGTGACAGCCCACAAGAGGAACTTTATTTCACTAATCCTCAGAGTTTGTAGCTAGTCCTGCTTGAATAAGACAAAAATGTTTGCTATGTTTACATATTGTGTCAGTTTTATTTTATTGCAATATGTAGCATAATTGAAGCATTGAGAACTGGTTCAAAATTATAGCCCTCAAATGCTACTTGTCAATGAACACTACCGCCATTGGATTTTTACTTCACTGGATTTGACAATTTAGTAGTCTCGGACTAGTGGACTAGTGGGAATATCGAAGGCTGCTTACATTACAAAAACATCTTGAAACAAAAGGATTTGCTATGACAGTATTTACCTCAAATCCTGGCCCATCTACAACAAGTTCCTCATAAGACACTTCCTCCGGCTCTGCTGCAAAAACAAGCCAGAAAAATAACATGACAAATATAGGAAAGGAATCAGCGTTAAACCCTAAATAATCAAAACATTGACTTATTAAAATGACCTTACAAATTAATTAAAAAAAACATTTTCAATATGGCTGCCTGAGTGTTGCTTAAAGTCAGATTTGATTCTGTGCATAATTCTTTTTAGATACCACAGCTTTGGTCATCCATGCACAGTTTTAGCTTCATAGGCCTTGTAGTTGCAGAGCATATGACCACGAGTACAAAATTATGAAGGGCTGATTGACGAGCCAGTCACTAAAATCACTGTGCAGATACATTTCTATCAAGAAATATATCCAAATAGGTAAGTTAAAATGGATGTTTTAGCTCACCTGATAGTTTCTGAAAAAAATCCATAAATGTCATACAAGAATAAAACAATAATATGTTTTAAAAAAAACTATGGATATGTATCTTCATTCAATGCATGCATATACCATGTATACCTATCAAATTACCCACACACATACAGGGATTATCCTGGAAATTTTTACCTAAGAGAGCAAATATCCTCTGGTCTCTGATTGTTTGGAGTATGATAAGATTTTGCTAATTATCAGAGACATTTCATCTTCAAAAGTGGAAACTGTAGTTGATTTTTGTTATTTCTGACTCAAATTATGATGCAATTAATGTTGCTAGGTTACATAGATATATTCTCGTGTAACCTATGTTCAAACCCTTGATTATTCCAGTGCAAATATTTAAAAATAAGTGTATATTATTGGATAATGTTCGTTGTTTAATTAGCAACAACTAAGTGAGAAGGCGGCGTCTTTGTCATGAGCAGCAGCCAGAAAATGTTGCCAAGTAAACAGAAGTTGAAAAGATTGTTGACATTCACGATGTTTATGAGTTGGATATGAATGATTAAGTCAAAGTTTTCACTTTTAATGTACAAATCTGGAAGCAAACATACCGTAGCATATTCTAAACTCTGTTTGGCCACTAGAAATAGTTCAAAATTTGTAATTCTGGTCATTCTTGCAGCAGGGTACATTTGTGAAAACTCTTCCACCAGTGCTGCCTTACCTAAAGGAAAGGTGAGTATCAACTAAACTATGATCGTGTGTGATCTGAAATATGTATATTATTATGAAGAAAAATGTGTAAGTATAACCATTTAGTTTTTGTTTTGTTGACATTCCAAAATTGAAATTTGCCTGCATTTTGAAACTTTACCCGCGATTGTTTTTGAGTAGATTTCTAGTAGGACTTCAGTGACAAAAAAATATGTTTAACAATATGTAACTTTGGTGTGGTAGATAATTGTTTCAAATGGAATAAGAATTTCGTGCACTACCAATATGTTAATGTTGTAATCTGGACACTAATTTTGCCTAACGGAAATCAACAATGTTGCACACTCCGCTATAGTTAGCTGATGTAAAGCTCCATAGCGATATTGGAACTGGTTATGCACAGGGAGAGATCGCATGCAGTGTTGCCGGAATGCAACTTGTTTTTTGATTTGATTGACACCTTTTAACGAATGAAACAAACTATTGTTTAAGTTTTTATTGGCATTTTGAGGTACGGTAGGTAATTTTATTGAAGCAGTAAGACGTTTTCAACGCTTGTAAGAGAAAATGAGAGTGACAATTCAGATGAAATTAACAGTTAGCGACTTTCAATCATGCTGAATGAATGTTGATGTGATATTTATGACAACTATGCGAGAATATTACAGAATTGTGCCATAAGTCAATCCCTGCAAATACACATATAATTGAGACAAAGTCTAATTGAATGTTTGCAATGGCAACTGAGCCCAAATGTCACAGGTTGTTTATATGACATACCTGCAGCAGCTCCTCTACGTCTTCGGATGACAGGCTGTCGGTTGCTGTTGTAACCACGGCGACGAACAGGACTACGACAATACTGTAGGAATGTTGGGGAGAGTGCTGGCGGACATGCTGCCTCCTCTGCTCCAAATGCCCCTGCATGGTCTGACTGAGCAAATCCTGCATCTGCCTGATGGAGGGACATTGCAAATTCCTTGTCCATCTCTTCCTGGAAGGTCAAGGCCACATAGACATGAGTTGACACAACCAATCTCATTAAAATCAGACCTTAGTTCTAGCTACCGCTGAACAAAGATCTGAAGACTTCCCATTAGGGGTCACGTCAGAACGACCTTTCATCCGACCAATCAGAGCATACCAGATTATGAAAGTGACAGTCGGAATGTAATTTCTGATCATGCAATTTCGAAAACTTTTAACACGGGGTATTCTGAACGATAGTTACAGGTTTAACGACTGAATCCATACAATCTAGACCATCCATTAGCCATTCCAGAATGTTCTTTTGTTTAGGTTTCAAATTTGTAATCAAGAATTTCTCAAAATATGTTTTGAAGCGTAGTCGCCAATTTGAAATCACGAGAAAGCTTCCTTCTGATTGGTCATTCCATTGGTCGGTCTGACATGACCCGTAATGGGATGTCCTCAGATCTTTGTTTAGCGGTAGCAAGAACTAAGATCTGATTTTAATGAGATTGGGACACAACAATATGTTGGCTTCCAAATCCAATACAGTACAGTATTTTACAATTTTATTAACACACCAGACACCATAGGAGCGGCTGTTTTTAATGCCAGTTAACAATGTTCCTACTCGAATGAGGCTTAACAAACCCGTGGCCAAAAGCATGAATAATGATTATCATTGTCGAGGTATGATGACAAGCAGCCAGGTCACATATGGTGACTGTCCTTAGTGGGCTCTTACAATTAGCATGGGTTACTTGGGAGCTATTCTTTCTTGGACTCCGTTTTTTCTATGGTTTACTTATAAAATTATTCCTAAAAGAATTCTCATCAAATTAAGACATAAATACAGTGAAATAAATTACTAATGCACTAGTAATCATATATTGCAATTATTCTTTTGTAGTTGTTGCATATTTGTATAGGTTGCACATGGTTACATATATACTGTAAATCTTGAAATTAACGTGAGCATCAATTAAATGCAGAGTAAACATATAAACAGCGTGTTGCTTTTAAGAAAACACTGTTTATTGTTTGTGCTCTACTCAGTGCTAATAAGTGGTGCTATTTGCTGTTTGATTGGTTTAAGGTAAGATTATGTATCATTCCACTGGGGATGGGGTGGGGGGGGAGTTGCATTGATATTCAGTAGCATTTTTGGCTAGGGGGTCAGCAGCCGTATAAATTTGGAGACGCATTAATTTCAGTATTTACAGTATTACAGTTGCAAAGATAATACAGATCTTGAACATAACGTTAGATAATAAATAGGGTATGACACAAGGACCAAAATTTATAGAAGTAGTCAATTCTGGAACTTAAGATGGCTGAACATTTTGAAAGGACACAGTATTTATAGAGTTCTGCTGCAAGAACTGAAAAGTTGATATACGCTTAGTGTATCTATACTTAAATATGATAGATTTGAATCACATACAATCAAGTCTCGTAAATCCGACAATCAGTTTTATCCGACACTAATGATGGGAACCGATTAATTCAGTGCTATTAAGACCCGTTAATCCGACAGTTTCGTTAATCCAACAAAGTGATCAACACACACAGCCCATGTTTTGATACGAGGTGAATCGGCTAGTAGCTGCATTTTACAATGGCTGCAGAGATAAACGTGCTTAACAATAAACAATTAATGCTCTAATTAAACAAAACAGGATTAATTACGTAACTCAGATACAAGTTCTCGCTGTGGTTGAGGATATCCCATTACAGGTCACATCAGAAGGACCTTCCGCAAACTCTGACAGACCAATGAAATGACTGACAGGAAGTCAACATTAGCCAATAAGAAAGCAGCTTTCTTAAGCATTGTGGCACTAGTTTCAAACTGGCGACTTCCTTTTCAGTATTTTTAAAAAGTATTTTGAATCAGTCATACAATCCGTAACAGTAGTTTTGTGTTAAGCTTTAGAGGCTGCATGATTAGAAAACACATTCCGCTAACAATGTAACATAACAATATGAATATTTCTTTTTCCTCTTTTTTATTACAATGTGTTTGTATGGTTATCAATCATGTAGTTGTCCGATTTTCGATCACGAACGTTGATACAACTAAATTTCGTTCATCCGACATACTCGTTAATACGACATAATCATATGCAACCAACCATGTCGGATTAACGGGACTCAACTGTATTTTTAAAAGATCTAAGCATTACATCCTACATGTCCTACCTGCAACCTGCGAGCGTACTGTTCATCATCTTCCATCTGTCTCACTAAACTCACAGCCTCGTCTGCGTCATTGCTGACTGACACCTCTGACATCAACCGAGTCGTCGTTGGAGAGATACCGTCATCCAGAGCTGCTAAATAGTGCTGACACTGTTAAATCTGACAGTTGTGTTCAGACTTAAATGGATGGCACTGGTTCCATGCACAATATCATATTATCTTCTAACAGTAAACTATGTTAACATGTTAACAGTCCTATGTATCCACAGTTCATTCAAATCTTGAGCCATCAAATTTAATCAGCATAACACATTACATGTATGTAACAGAAAGGGATAAATGGTGACAAAACAGGCCTGGACTGCTCTACTTGAATTCCAACTCATAGCTGTGGAAACTGACCCCGTCAAAATTCTATTTGCCCTTTTAATCTTATATAATAATAGTCCATATATCTTGGTTATGGGTTTGCGGATGCTTAAGAAACAATTGTAGTTTTCTCTCTATTCACATCAACAACTGTTCCCTTATAAAAGACAACTTTCTCTTAAACACAAGCCATCATCTATGTATTTACAATATCTGTGTGATGCTACACCCCCAATTATAGCACGAGTAATTGTGATAAACATGGCCGTCAAAAAACGTATGATGTCCGAAAACCTATGATCCAACGAAAATAACACCTGAAAATTATGCTAATAGCCATGTTTGGGCGAGCAGACTAAAACATTTTTGACACAGACTGCTTTCACAGGTTCAGGTTGGTTGCTATAGTATTTGAATTCAGCCATTCGTCACCACTTGCCCCTTTCCGTAATCTGCAAGAAGACTCGTCCCCCTATCGATGAATGTTATGTGTGAAAATAAAAAAACAAACAGTCAGAACAGTGGTAGAAACTAACATTTTTAGTCCACTAGTCCTTATAATGATAACAAATAGCAAAACAGTTAAAAAAAGCATATTTCTACTAGTCCTTATGATATCTTAACTATTGGCCAGTTTGGCAAGGACTACAGGACTAGAGCCAATTTCTAACCCTGCAGAATGAGAGTATGACTTCTAGTACATAGGTCAAAGAATCCCTCAGGAATTATTTTTGATTTTACATTTTCTTGCATTTAAAAATATACCCAAGATACAGTTAAATGTGTTCAATAGCATCTGGTACATATATGACATATGGGGGAAATATATGTGAATCATTACACAACATGCTGACAATTCGTTCAGTTATGCCCGTTTGCACTAAGACCGAACCCAGTCGCAAAAAAGAGGGGCACGAGTCGCTATTCGGCTTTTCCAGGAATAACAGGAGTTGGTCACGGAAGGAATCCGGCATGTCTGGGGCCCCTCTAAGCCTTTTACTGCTAACATTGGGGACATACAAGGACCCCTTGACTTACATGCCCAATTTGGAACACTGTCATCCCTGTAACCATGGTAACATGTGTAATTACATTCATCAAGCTCACCACTATTATTAATATTTCCAATCCTGTTTCGTCTCAGCCCTGATGCCCGGGCATGTCGTCGGCTGCCAGTCCGGTTCCTCATTGGCTGGGGAGTGATTGACAGATCAAACTCGGGCCGCCGATTAACTGCAAGGTTGAATACTCCCAGAGGGATAATATCAGGAGATGGCGACCTCTCAGGTCTTCCAACATCAACAGATATTGGGTGGGTCGGTTCTATATGAACAGTCTCCCGCCTTGCAACGTCATGCGTAGGAGTCTGAAAACGACAGTTATTATGCATTCCATTCACACGGCTCTGGGGGGAACAAAAAGTAGGACTGTCTGACCGTGTGAGATCAATACTGTGAATAATGTTGTTTGGTTTTGTATTGTTCACATGTAGTGTTTGAGATGGAGTGGCAAATTCAGCACTGGTCCTATACACATTGTTCTCAGGTCTATTGAAGGTAAGATTGGTGTTATAACAACAGTTCTTCCTAGCATTCCCAGAGTTATCAACCCTGTCAACATTGGATGGCTTCGGTCCCCCAGGTGGCAGCTGATTGAGAAAGGAAGACTCGGATATGCTGATTGTCCTGGGAGCAGAGTTATCTCCCCTGTGTACTGGTGGAGTACACATTATCACACTGTCATTGTTTGATGAACCCAGAGAATCATTCAACAAGGAAGTGGGTGAACGGAACGAATTATTCCTTGCAAAGCGGCATGACGGACGAGGCTCTTGTTCTCCTTGAACCCGATGCTCCGACTGAGATCTTTGAAGGTTTATACTACTGGCTGGTTCGTTACAACTATCAAACAAAGATGGTCGAATTTTCTTGCCATCCTTTTTGGGAAACAAATTCCTTCGTCTAGTTAAAGCCAGCTGCTTGAGCGTTGCATCTTCACTGACTTCACAATCCCTGTTTTCCCTGACCCTATTCTGCTTGATATCTTCGCACACTAGGTCGTCAAATTTTTCGGTGGCATTTGTGTCAAGTGTCTGGTGACCTTCTGGCTTAGGACTCACAAACTCGGTCACACTGGTTTTACTGGGCGGCCCCTTATCCTCAGACATTACCTCAGTCTTCACCTGGACCTCTGAGACATAACTGGCATCGGGACCTATAACTGCAGCAACAGAATGGCTTGGAACAGCTTCCTTCATCTGCCTGCCCACAGATGGGTTTTTGACAAGGTTATTTCTTATTTTAAGTCTATCACTGATGGTGTCTATAGCTACTTCTGATGAAGATTTCATAACTTTCTTGTCATGTAAAACTGCACGCAGAGGAATACTATCATCATCACTTTCAGACTCTGACTCTGATGGCCAGCCAAGGTATCCAGTTCCAAAGTGTGCATATTTGTAACCGTTTGTCGGAGACTGTGGTGGGTTTTTATCTTCACGGTCAGAATCAGATTCAATTTTCGCCAGCCGTTTCTCTCGTGCGACCCGCAGTTTCTCAAAAGCCTCTTTCCGCTCTCTGTTCTTAATATCAGCAGGTTTGTAGGGTGAGATGAAGCGATCAAGATTCTTCTGCATTGCCCGGGATCTTTTAGAGTCAGAGTCCTCTTCTAAGCTGGGGTGAACCTCTCGCTCCCTCTTGTTCTTACAACGCTTAAACACTGGGCTGAAGCAAACAAAATGAACTTAAATATCTTTTATCATTATGTAACCACAGCAACTAGACTAGTCATCACTTTCAAATAAAGGAGAACAGGCATCTATCATTATAATGAGCAGGTGTAGAAGCAACGGAATAATTATCTTGACAATGACCTTTCTAATTGAACTAATCTTTTATCATGTAAATCACATGATATGATTCACATGATAAACTGATTAACATGGTGGTCTGATCCCAGGAATCAAATGTTTTAAGTGTGAGTTCAGATATAACAGCCTTATTACTGTATATCTACTGTATTCACCATAGCAAACATCCCTGGGACTTACTTGCTGTTGGCAAACCATGTATGCCAAATACAGTGTTCTGCCAAGAAACTGAAAAAGTGGTGACAGCGACCCCTTCAGCATCAAAACATGGGTCATTTTCAAAACATATGGGGCCACACTCTGAGAGATCATAAAAAAGCTTAAAGTCTGATGCACAGGTTATCGATGCAGAATCCCCGTCCACAGGTAACCCTTGCAATACAATAGAATGTTTGCCATGGCTTCTTTCTCAGATGTAACGTTATGTACTGCTGCAACAACGTCTGATGACATATATTTAGTCTCAACAGCTTGTTTTGATCACCATCTCTTCAATGTGCTTGTTCCAAAATAATAATTTCGCTTTGTCATTGAATTAGATTTCACATGATTTACGCAGAGCTGACATATCACAGTATTTCTTTCTGACTTATGCTGTAACCATGTGTAGCTGCGAAGCCAGGTTCATTGAAAAAATTTCAACCTTGTGAAACTTTGCTGTTCGGCCATGGTTTATATGTTATGGTAAAAACACAACGAAAATTGTTCATATGAGAACTATATTTGTACAAATGTGTCATTCCTTGGTATAACTAAATACCACCGCCTGTTTAGGTCAGGGGCATCATAAACCTAGCTACATGAACGCGCCCGATGTCCCACTGAACGTAAATATTATGCTCCAATCAATAAAATATTGATAGAAACCCCATGGGGCCACAGCTGCATTTTCTGTACAAAATGTGCATTATACACACTGAAATAGATTACTTGAAAATACCCATAAATGTTGGTCATAGGGCACTTATTCATGTCATAAGGGCAGGGCATTTAATATGGCAAATATGGTACCTATAAAGTGCCCAGTCACCTATACTACATTACTTCAAGCACTGCAAAATCAGATCCCGAACTCGGATAGGATACCTCTCTAAAGTTATGTGGACACCTTCTCAGGAGGTCATGTCAGGTGAACCTTGAACATTTTACCACCCAAGTCCAATTGAAGGATGTATGGGGTCTTGAGCCAGTCTGATGTCAGCTTTCTAAAATTATTCTTCATTTCCTTACCACCTTGGTATGGAAGGTTTGTGGAAATGAAAATCCACATAGTACACAAATATTCTTTCAATGGCACTCCCTTTTGGAGATGCCATGGTGCTTAGAATCAACAAGGCGGGTTTTTTTAAATAACAATGATGCAGTCCTATTTATCTCTGTTCAGAATGTGTACAGAATACATGTAAATATGACATGCTGTTCTAAATGCTTCATGTACTCGTTCCAAGAATATAGAAGCCGCAATATGGATCGGCTGATCTGACAGGGTCACCTGACACAACCGCTAATGAAGGTGTCTTCAGATATCTAACAATAGTTATCATTGTGTATAATTCTAAGGATACTACCTCTATTACATCATAGCCATAAATTCCTGTTTACGCTGAGAACCACACTACAAAATTAAATAAATTTTCAACAGACGTCCTCTTCACTACCAACATAGCTAACAGTTGTGAGGGAAACCCTATCCCTCGCCAGAGACGCCACTGCTCATGCGCAGGGCGGGAATCACCTCACTTCTTTCCTGTGTGTCCAGATGACAAGGAAATGTTTTTGTTGCATACATCTGTACACTTGATTGCTGTTCCACACTTACAAGTCACACTAGATCATCTCAAGCTTCACTAAAGACAAGCAGTGAGCGGTTCTACAAGCAGAGAACAGGGGTATTAGAAGGCAGAAGGCTCTCGTATGTAATTAGTTAGAGAACGTGTTGTGGGATGAGGACTTCATCCCCATCGAACAACACAAGATTAAAAAAAGGCTGAATATGACAGGGCATCCTCACACAGCCTCACCTGACACAACTGCTAAAGAAGGTGTCTTCAGATATACAAGATCTGATTTCCATGAGGATAACATTCATTTGTATGCTTGTGTGTTCATTATTTTTGTCTTACATGTTTCAGATGTTCTGGTGTCACTCAGAAGAGGTGTACCATGGGCCACTGAGCATGTATCAGACGTTCTGGTATTACTAAGAACATGTATAAAATGTTCTGGTATCACTCAGAAGAGGTGTACCATGGGCCACTGAGCATGTATCAGATGTTCTGGTATCACTCAGAAGAGGTGTACCATGGGCCACTGAGCATGTATCAGATGTTCTGGTATCACTCAGAAGAGGTGTACCATGGGCCACTGAGCATGTATCAGACGTTCTGGTATCACTCAGAAGAGGTGTACCATGGGCCACTGAGCATGTATCAGATGTTCTGGTGTCACTCAGAAGAGGTGTACCATGGGCCACTGAGCATGTATCAGATGTTCCGGTGTCACTCAGAAGAGGTGTACCATGGGCCACTGAGCATGTATCAGATGTTCTGGTATCACTCAGAAGAGGTGTACCATGGGCCACTGAGCATGTATCAGACGTTCTGGTATCACTCAGAACATGTATAAAATGTTCTGGTGTCACTCAGAAGAGGTGTACCATGGGCCATTGAGGATGTATCAGACGTTCTGGTATCACTCAGAAGAGGTGGGTGTTATGTAGATTTTCAACATTTATGCTGTACTATGGAGTTAGGGACACATATTATCAGTGTTCCCGTTTACTGGTAATTACCAGTTTTTTACCAGTAAAATCAGGCTTGGACCAGTAATTCATGTGACTACAAGTCTCTGTGGACCAGCAAATAAAGTACCTCATAAACTTTTGTTGTCGAACAAAACATTGGCGATATGCACAGAAGAATATTTTTCGAACGAAGTCAGCTTGTCTGTTACCATCAGGATTTCCCCTAATCTATTTTTAGTGCAAGGAAAAAACATTTTGCTTTGCTTCGCTTCGAGGTTAAATATATATTTTTAGTGACTTAGTCTAGAAAAAAAAAAATTTAAAAGAGAAAATTGTGACTGAACTTTGTGTGAATGAAACTAAGTTACTTCAGAGATGACGTCACTGCATTGAATATGATGTTGAATGAATTAAAACCCGGTAACTTTATTTGTTTAGAGTTGGGACTGACAAAAATAGAGGGGACTGGTAATTTTTTGAGTTGCCAGTCCAACAGGACAGCCAGCGTGAACACTGATTATCGAGTACAGATGTGGAAATTGAACATGTGTCTTTGACAACTATTGGCCTGGAGGAGATAATGGAAATGGATGTACCTGGATACTTTCCTCAATCAGCTGGAACTTTAGTAGGCCACTGAGCATGTAAATGAAGGTGAATGTGGTTGACATTTTTACAATTTGCACAATACCACTGAGCTTTCTTTGAAGGTGGGATTCCCTTGAATAGGTATATTTCTTGGATCAACAAGACCAGAGCTCCAGATAAGCTTTTGGTGTTGTGGGTATTTTACCCATACATTTTAAAATCATTGGGTATCAGTAATTCTATCTGCGTATTCAAATTTCTGTTACCCACTAGTTTTTACACATGTGGGTATTTAAGTTAAATATTTAAAAACACTATTCATCTAGTTTCTGCAAACTGGTGTCGTGTGGGTTCGAGAGCTTTACAGGACTCAAAAATACCACGATACTTCCACACGAAAGTGTGATGGCAAATGATCATGATGTAACTGTCATCGTGGAGTTTGGCAAGGTTGACGGAATGCTCGTTTATAATTTCAAAATAAGTTGCTGATTTGCTAATTGAATACGCAGGGTTACTTCACAATATTTTGGTGATACGCACAAATTTATTTTTGTAGCCCATCTGTAATGTTCGTTGCGTATTTGATACGCTTGGACTATATTTTACTGCGTATTTCTGCATTTCTGATGCGTATTTCATGCAGATACGCAGCTTATCTGGAGCTCTGAAGACTCAATTTGAGCTTGTACATATTGCAGTGTAGGTCAACAAACAGGCATAAGAAGGTGACGTGATCATGCTAATATGACAGACAACAATACATCAAAGCATGTCTATCATTATTAGTATGTTTTATATCTGTGCTCAGCAAGGTCTCTAACAGCATGCATGTCAACATTTGTGAACAAGAACTAACCTTGGTGTTTCTGGGATGAGTAAGGAGTCATATGATGCACCATGAGGTGTGCCAGACTCTGAGGATTCGGCATCTGCATCTCTTGCCTCCTCTGGACCACTGTCTGATAAGCTGCGACTCAATACAGGCCGAGATGGCTTCTTGTTCAATCGACTGAACAGGGACTCATTTAAATCCATTTTTACTGGAAAAAATGATTAAGGAGATATTTAAAAAAAAATTAAAAGTTGACAAAGAAAGTGACAACTTAATCATGTTAATCCAGGTAACAAAACCTAAAACCAACCTATTAAAGTCCAGTTTCTACCCTTGACGTACTAGGCTGAAATTTCAGAGTCATATTTTGGCTGGTTGGTTGGTTTGTTGTTTAACGCCGCACTCAGCAATATTCCAGCTATATGACGGCGGTCTGTAAATAATCGAGTCTGGACCAGAAAATCCAGTGATTAATATCATGAGCATCGATCCACACAATTGGGATACGATGACATGCATCAACCAAGTCAGCGAGCCTGACCACCCGATCCCGTTAGTCGCCTCTTACGACAAGCATAGTCACCCTTTACGGCAAGCATGGGTTGCTGAAGACCTATTCTACCCCGGAATCTTCACGGGTCCATATTTTGGCTGGACTAACAAGTCTATACATAGTACAATTTCAATCGCTTAACAAAATCGACATCCGGTTCGTAAACAATATGGCAACTGTCATGCAGATTTGGGTCTATTGCAGGATTTGCAAACCATCAACTGGGTGTCGGGAAATATTTTCCAAATCTTTTCATGTTTAAAATCAAGGAGCTCAAATGATTTGATGCACTTTGCGAGGTAAAGACCTGTATTATAACACTATAGATCTGGATTATCGAATGCCTTGACTGGCTGCCATCATTTTGTTTGAAGCAAATGCATTTGATCTGAATGGTCAATAAGAGGGTCATAACTCATAATAATTGCCACTGATGGCGCTAAGATTGGGCCACAAAACTCCATTCTAGTTCAGTAAGGGCGGAAACTTAACTTTAATAGTCAGTCAACACCCTGAATAAAACCATGAAGTCACAACTTTATCTGAAACTGCACGAAAAAACATTACAGACCCTGTCAAAACATTTGCTGATAGGTTCTTAATGTCAATGTTTAAATCTTGTAACATGTTAAACCAACAGAGACTAACTTTTTACAGTTATCATTACTCAATGATTACTTCACATGGTTACTTGAACCTGGAGATGTCTTACCTACATCACGGTTCAGGTCTTGCAAACACCTAAATTGTATAAAATGTATTTCATGTTCTGTTACATATTTGTCATGCATGAAATTTACTGCAAGTTGTAACAAAATCAATTGATTATTCTCAGTAATGGAACCTTGCTTCATGCATTTGGTTACATTCAATATTTCTATGACCTGCTTGGTTGTACTGAGGTTCAATAATAAACTTTACAAATATCTGTAACCTTATTGTTCAATTTCACATGTTATCAGAGATCTGCTGGTAGGAACATTCAACAAACATGGCTGACGTGTATCAAATACATACAATGATTATAAACGTGTGGAGTTTCCTTCTTCTGCCAATCAAAATGGCATCACTTGAAGAGTAACGTTTCTTTGAACACTTATTCATTCATACAGTATCCATACCAACATGACTGGCCCGAAATGGTCACTAAGCTCTGCGCCAGGTCATGTGAATAAACAATGTAATGAATGTATGCAGCTGCATCATCGTGCACGGTTCAATGATGATCGGGTCATGTATAAACAAGGCTGTGGAAATCACATTGTAAACCGTAAACATGAATAAAGTCACGCGCAATGCAACTTTGAGCGTCTGTTACGACTATTTGGTAATTGCATTATCAAATTTACTGTTTCGAGATCCGAAAGAACGGGTCATTTCATCAGCAATATCGGATTATTGTATAGACAAAACAAATACATTTTCAAACATCCGGTTAGAGGAAGTTCTCGACGAGATAATCACCGCTTCTGGGAAATAACCTTCGTGTCAAAAAATCTTACTTTTCGTGAAATATGTAATTATATCGGAACACAGCAAAGTTCTGAAATGACGTCCGCCATTACTGAAATACTGAACCAATGAGATCAGCTGTTACAGGTTTCATCGCTCGTTTCGTCGAAATGTTAAGCTAAGCAAGAAACGAAAAAAGATTTCTTTTTTTCAAGAGCGATGGCAACAGACATTATTTACAAGTCTTTCAAAATGTTAGAAATTGGAAAATTAAAATAGATTTTATTTCTCATTCTCGACATTATATTGTCTTGTGAGAAGAACTACCCTATGAAGAGTGTGGAAGCTGCACATTAGTTATTTGTGTGTCGGCTTGGTCCCCCAACAAGTTTCATTCAAATCATTTGAGCACTAAAACTTAATGATGAAGATAAATAAAACAATTGATGATGACCGTGCATAATCCTAAGGATGTCACATAAAGGACACATTAATATGCTAGACTTTGACATGAACATCAGACGGAACATATGTATGTCTCGTTACTGGTGTCGACCCAAAATGTGATAATGGGTTTGCTTTTACTCCGCCTTTAACCATTATTTCGGCGTGGGCATGGTGCCGATAACCCTCGAAATATAAGATATCAGGGCAAACTGGAATTCGAAGTTTCCGGGCACGCGTAAGGGACGCCAACTCTTGTGGCGTCTTAGAGAAAATGCTCCAAGACATGGTACAACAAATACAATTAAGTGTCATAGGTCGAATGTGAGCTTCTAACGTAATCTGCGGATCCTGGCACGACAGAGGGACGCGATTCTACATAGAGATCGAAGTGCGGCGTATTTGACCATTGCAGTTTCCAACGAGCCCCTACCGATACAAGTGACGCTCTTTCATAACGCTGCAAATGCACCGCTTATAATCATGCATTGGACTATGACAACTGGTCTCCGCAATGAAAGTATTTTACAGAAAATACAACAGTTGCTAAATTAATAAAATATAATGAACAGTAGAAAAGAGACTCTTTATTTTCAGAAACTGAAACTTGCCAACTATTATACACTTGAGCGGGATAAATTGTATATGTTTGTTTCAGGGTTTGTATGGCAGACTAATTTATTCATCTGCAACACGCTGTGCTGTGTTATGAAGCCGTAGCTGTGTGTAAAGTATCAATTTGCATACCCAATGATATATTTATCCCACAAGACCGGTTATTAATATTGAATGCACAGCTATACATATTCCTATGCAAAAACCTCCGTGATTCGTAGTTTAGGGGTATGCCGTTGTAGGTTTGATATTACCTATATATAAATTCAATTTATTCTTGAGGAGTTAACAGGTGAGGTAGTCTGGTGGGGGTGTTACGGAGAATTCAAATCATATACGTATAACAATTAAACAAAATGCATTTGGTATAAAGTCGTGAAAATGTTGTTTTCTGTTCAGACTCATGTAAGCTTATACAGGTTGCCGTGGTGTACCTTGACTTTTACCAACTGACTCACTTATCATGACAAAGCATGCTATAAAGCGTTTATCACACACGTGTAACATATATTTTACACCGATATGTTCTGCTGGAATATGCTGAAGAATCTGAAGCGAAAATCGCTGAGCTACACCATTAAAACCAGACAATATCACAGACAAAAGAGGAAGATACGATGACTCTATACAGTTCTATATACCCCTCAAGGTAGTGAGTAAGAGTGAATTGGGTTTAAAGCCGCTTTGAACAGTATTCCCGCTTTGTCACGGCGTGTCAGCTTAATGTAGGAGGAAAGCCCGAAGTGATGCAGGTCTCAGGTGTTTACCTCTGTTGAAACCCACGAACACTGGTAAGGTTCCGACAAACCATGAAACATAATCGGGGCGAACCGGGATTCAAATCCATCATAAGTTTCTGGCGCCCCTCAAGACTACTTGGCAACTCGTACCACGTCGGTGAAACCCACAATACGGACATGCTGCTGATAAACCTAGAAACAATGACGGTAAATCTGGGATTCGAACCGCCGATTATAGATTTCTGGCACGCCCAAGGGACGGAGCCCTGCATAGGGACTGGACATCCCGTGGTCCCTGCATGTTTTATATAAGCCTTTCAAACAGTCTTTCCAAATGTTCAGTGAAATGGAAAAAGGAACTATAATAGTTTCTTGTTTAACACCAAGCACCTTAAAATAACATTAAAAAAACTGAAATGACAGTGTAAATATTATTTTACTTTCTTTTAAATGTTTAGATTTAAAGAACCCTAATCATTTGAACTGAAGTGGACGAAAGGAATGGACAGTCAGTTACTATTAATACTGTTTATGCATACGTGGCCGAGATGACAAGGACACGTGTCTTAGTAGTGATGTATATTAATTGTCCTGGAGATGGTCACCCTTTATATTGTTTAGTGCTGTATCATGTTGATCGAGCGGTCATTAGCTGCATATGATTGGTGAAGTAAATTTATAATGTTGCAATAATTTCTTTTTGAACTATTGTACAAATCGGCAAGGTGAGCTGCAGAGCCCATGGTATTATTATTCCTTTAAGTACACAAATTAAACTTAGCTCTGTCACTAGAAACAATTATGAATTAATTTGATAGTCTTTACATCGGTAAAAACGATTTGTAGAAGAGAAATTTCAACCTTAGAGTATTTTGAATTTCCCTCGTTTATTCGTGAATGTAGTATTAGTACAACAACAAATGCAGGGAAATGAAACCGTGTATTAGTTTTCTTCACTCTTGAACTAACAATTACATGTACTTGTATAAAAATAGTTTCATAAAACTATTATATACGAAAACTACTCGTCTTAAAACCCTGATTTACTCAAACACACACCAACCGCCCATCGAATATTCGTTGACAATCAGTAGTTGTACATATGTAGTATTTAATTCACTTCCGGTAAGGAGCTCCTGCATTTCCTGGAGACGCATAAACAATGTCGGACTAGCGGCCTTTCACCCTTGCTGATCACCAATAACACTCAGGTAAGAAAACTATGGTGATTATCTAAATATTGAATCATCCGATCTCCCGCTGTCGACATTTCCGTCCCGGAAAACAGATATCATCAGCGTTTAACTGTAAGTACAAAACATCCAGCTTTCGAGTAGTTCAGCGTCACTGGAGTTGGTTATGTAGTGACAGTGACATTTATATATGCCTTACTCGTAATAAATACTTGAGATTCCATATCACCATTATACGTGATTGCAGTAGGCTTTCTTTCACATTACAATAATGCCACTACCAATGATGACTGAGGTGTCTTCAAAATACAGTGATAATTTGAACATAGAGATTCAGTTAGAATGTATCTTGGATTCATGTATGTAACTGTTTGTTGTGCAGTTTACGGATTAACACTACTCTGCAGTAGCGAACAATATAATGTTTGTTGTTATAGTGCTATGGCTTTACCACAACAGGAACACATCTTGGTTTAGACATGTCATGTATTAATCAACCTCCTGCTCATGAGGAGGGTATAGGAGGAATGAATAGTTAATTGAAGTACTGAAATAATATGACAATTCTTTCATATTTCTGTAGTAATATGAATCAATAGGGTGTTCTGTAACTCCTTTTAAGTAGTATACATATTCTCTTCTTTGTGTGATAGAACAGAGTCAGGTTATGAAATAAATTGACATTACTTTAGTTTAATGAATCACACAATGTTTCATCAATGGCCAAAGCTTGAGTTACATCAAACTAGATATACAGCTATCATTTTCATAACTTTTTTTTTATCAAAAGGCTATGATACTGAGCCATGACCGTTGGATATTTAAATACATTCCTATGATATCATATATTTTTTTTATATAGGTATATATGACAGAAGGTTGCATATTTTTTTAACCATCTTGTACTATCCTATAGTATACTGTTGTTACATGTTTAAACAGTTACTGGTTTTTTATTATCTCTTTTATTGTTATACACTAAAATACTTTTGTACCTAGTGTAGGATTTGTTTTTTGCATGTCAACCTAGTCAGAAGAGAAATTGCTCACAAAATCTTTTACATTTTAGAATGTTCAATGCGGATTTGGATTATGAGCAAAGTTGAAATAAAAATATTTTTATACAGAAAATATTATGATGTTTGAAAAAGCAAGAAACTAAGCCAAACTTAAATATTGTTGTTGCACCCTGAACATCTTCCTCACTTTGTACTTCAAATTATGTGATGATGATGACTCCATATTTTACTGTAAATGTACATATATGAATATGACTTATCAGATTGTTTATGTCAGCTGTCATTTTGGATAAAGAACACTTCCGAATGTGCCCAGAGTTTTCTCCCTTTGATTTTGATATTGTGATCTTTCTAAAAATATTCCCTGCTCTATGGTGAATGAAAGAGTTTGAAATCAAGACAGTAAGAAATCGAAATTTATGAAAGAAAGGCTCAGAAACACTGTACAGATAGATTTTATTACCGTATTCGACGTAATAAGCGCCCCGCTCTAATAAGCACCCATGGCGTTATTTGCTAATATATTGGCACGTGAACAATGCCAATTAGCACCCCTTCTGATTGATCAATGTAAACAAGACTTATTCATTCACGTATAATACGCACTCCTGTGTTATATGCACCATTAATTATGGGCAGTTAAATTCTGGAAAAAATATATCTGCCGTACATACTAGTATACATTTCAGGCTGTAAGCATAAACCACAACATTTATCTTTCAACTCTGTTTTTTTTTTCACCAAAATAATATTTTTAATAATATTTTAATAAGCGCCCAGGGCACTCTCAAAATTAGAAATAGGGGTATTTCTAATTTTGAGAGCGCCCTGGGCGCTTATTACGTCGAATACGGTAAACATATTTTATTGTCCAAAAAGACAAAGGGATTGGGCACAAGTGCAGCACTTATTACCGTCTTCTCCCTGGTAATGTTACAGATAGTTTGATTCATTGTCATTGATATTTCCTGACATTTAAGTGTTAAAGCTTAGTTGTGTCACTATAG